CTCCCCTCCCTCCGCCAGAGCAGCTGAAGCTGCGCCAGGACTGTGGGCACTACGGGTACCTGGACCGCGAGGGCTCCAGCCTGCCTGGCATGGATGATGCAGCCAACTTCCACGCTATGCAGGTACCCACGGGAAGATAGAACCTCCCCAAAAAAAATCCTGGAGCCCATCTGTGCTGGTTTAGGGCAAATTTGGGAGAAAACCTTCAAAAGGGGCCCCTCCAGAAAGCAAACACACACAGCCCCTCTGCCCAATCGGTTTGGGGAAGTTTCCTTAGAGAGAGGTGGAAAGAACCTGTTTATTTAACAGGCAAAACACCCCTCAGCACACCAAATGAACAATACTGGATGACACTACTCTGAAAAAAATGACAAATTCAGAAAGTCTCTCTTGGGGGTGGTCACTCTGTTATCAGTCCATCCTGTGCTGGGGCAGCTGCTGCAGCCACAGGGTGCAAATTCTCGGTGTTTCCCAGGTCCCAGTCTGAAGCAGGTTCAAGTTGGTCCAAAAAAGGGAAAGGGAAGCAGTCCAGGGAAAATTTGGACTGCTTAGCTAAACTAACGAATGAGCAGAAGCAAAAAGCAAGAGCAAAGCAAAAAGCAAAAGCAGCACTATGTACTGCCCCATCTCTGAGGTCCACGAGTGGGGGAGCAGGCTGATAACAAAACCAAAACCAAAACAAAACATTCACTCTTCAGAGCCAGTTTTGAAGGCACAGAACATAAAATCCAGCATAAACAGAACACGGGAATGGGGATACAGACATCCTAACGTCACCCTAGGACACCTGTCTGTGTGTCCCACTAGTTGTGGGGGAGCAGGCCGATAACAAAACCAAAACAAAACACCCTTCAGAGCCAGTCCTGAAGGCACAAAACATAAAATCCAGCATAAATAGAACACAGGAATGGGGATACAAGCACCCTAACATCACCCTAGGACATCTGTCTGTGTCCCACCAGTTGTGGGGGAGCAGGCTGATAACAAAACCAAAACCAAATCAAAACATTCACCCTTCAGAGCCAGTTTTGAAGGCACAGAACATAAAATCCAGCATAAACAGAACACAGGAATGGGGATACAAGCATCATAACATTACCCTAGGACACCTGTCCATGGGGGAGCAGGCTGATAACAAAACCAAAACCAAAACATTCACTCTGAAGAGTGAAGGCACAGAACATAAAATCCAGCATAAACAGAACAGAGGCATGGGGATACAAGCATCCTATCACCCTAGGACACCAGCCCATCCCTTGATCTTTGTGTCCATCCCCAGGATGCCATGAGGATCATCGGCTTCTCGCCCACGGAGGTGACAGAGCTGCTGCAGGTGACGGCCGTGGTGCTCAAACTGGGCAACGTCCAGCTGAGCAGCAGCTTCCAGGCCAGCGGGATGGAGGCCTGCAGCATCAGCGAGCCCCAGGGTAGGGAAGAGGGATAAGGATGGGAATATTGGGGTGGGGAGAGCCNCCCTGATCCTCTTCCCAGTGCTCCAGTCATCATCCCAGAGCCCTGATGCTTTTCCCAGCACCCTGATCCTCTTCCCAGAGCCCTGATGCTTTTCCCAGAATCTTGATCCTCTTCCCAGTGCCACACTTCTCTTCCCAGTGCCCCAATCCTCTTCCCAGCTCCACGCTCCTTTTCCCAGTGCTCCAAGCACCCTGATCCTCTTCCCAGAACTCTGATCCTCTTCCCAGCACCCCAATCCTCGTCCCTGCACCTTGATCCTCTTCCCAAAACTCTGATCCTCTTCCAGAACCCTGATCCTCTTCCCAGTGCTCCAGTCCTCTTCCCAGCACCCCAATTCTCATCCCAGCACCTTGGTCCTCTTCACAATGCCCCAGTTCTCCTTCCAGGGCCCTGGTCCTCTATCCAGCATCCCAGACCTTTTCTCAGTGCCCCAATCCTCTTCCCAGAATCCCAAATCTTTTCTCAGTGCTCCAATCCTCTTCCCAGTGCCCTGGTTCTCTTCCCAGCAACCCCGACTTTTTCCCAGTGCCCTAATCCTCTTCCCAGCACCCCAACCCTCTTCCCAGTGCCCCAGTCCTCTTCCCAGTACCCTGGTTCTCTTCCCAGCAGCCCAGACCTTTTCTCAGTGCTCCAGTCCTCTTCCCAGAATCCCAAATCTTTTCTCAGTGCCCTGGTTCTCTTCCCAGCATCCCAGACCTTTTCTCAGTGGCCCAATCTTCTTCCAGGCACCTCAGTTCTCTTCTCAGCACCCCGGTTCTCTTCTCAGCACCCCAATCCTCTTCTCAGCACCCCAATCCTCTTCTCAGCACCCCAATTCTCTTCCCAGCACCTTGCTCCTCTTCCCAGTGCCTCAGTTCCCCTTCCCAGCCTCACACAGGAGATGTGGGAGGATGTGGGAGCAGGCTGGAGGTGCCCCCCTCCCTGCCCAGGTGCTGACCCCACCGCCCTCCCCAGGTGACCTACAACGTGACAGGCTTCATCGAGAAGAACAACGACCTCCTCTTCCGTGACCTCTCTCAGGCCATGTGGGCGGCCCAGCATGCTCTGCTGCGCTCGCTCTTCCCCGAGGGGGACCCCCAAAAAGTCTCCCTCAAGCTGCCCCCCACTGCAGGCTTCCAGTTCAAGTCATCCGTGGCGATGCTGATGAAGAACCTCTACTCCAAAAACCCCAACTACATCAGGTACCAGCCCCTGTGGTGTTTTCAGAGTTTCCCAGATTGAGGAGGAGTGGTTGAATTTGATTCCGTGTTCTTAGGAGGCTAATTTATTATTTTATAT